CCTCCATCCCCAAGAGTCCAAAGTCTCCTAAAGATTTGGAAGAGAGAAGTCGAATGAAAGCATGTCTTTCCTTTGCAAAGTGCATTTCGGACATTAGCTATTCAGACTGTTTACTGAATACAGTGCCTTAACTATTTTGTCTGTGACTGTTGGATAGCACAAGCTGACCTCCGGTTGACTCCTGAACTGGACCAGGCGCTCTTTGTTTTCTGAGCGGGATCCAGTAAACAAACCTCTCCTCCCTGCCCCACAGTCCCCCTCGCATAGGGGCACTTGATTCCCATCTTCACTTAATCCCCTTCAGTTAACCTCCTTTTATTATCACCTTTTCAGCTTTTGCCCTTTAATAGATCTTTAAATAGTTTTTCACCTTGCTCCCAACCATTCATTAGGCTTTGACTTTTTTGGTATCTTCACTCCTATCACTTCAACCTCTTATCTGCAGCATTCCTTTATTATCTCTCCGCTCCATTTCAAATGTTTTCTTGGGGGGGGGGGGGTGTCCTAATTTCAGTTTCAAATGTAAATATTAATGTGGAAAGAATATACTCTCTGGCTGATTTCCACCACCCCCCTCCAGTTGCAAGCCCCCCATCCGTGAGTGCAACATCAAACTGTAAAAGCAAGCAGAAAACTAGAAAATATTTTAGTGTTACTAGGGATGACTAATGCGTTCCTTAAAGTAGGAAATTCGGGCTGATTACAAGTCTTATTTATTATGTGATAAGCTAATGTATACAAATTCCACCTAATGGAGGAGTTTTCTTCTGCTTCTGAAGCATTTTTTTGTCTGAATCATCATCATCATGAACTTTGAAAACTCTCCTAACTCATGTGAAGGGCCTCGCTCATACAAATCCAAATTGCAAACTTCTGGGCGGGGTGGGGGGGGCGGGATAAAGTGAAGGACTTATCTCGAAGCAGTGCCTACGAGGCTTCAGAGCAAAACATCTTCAATGCTGCATCTGTTCAATGCCGTTGGAGGGAAAGGAGGACGAAACAAAAAAGATCTATCTCCAAGATGCAGTTATGCAGATTTTCTGCCTAATTGCCTGTTTCTCTGGAATAATCCCTGAAAAGCCCCGCTGGTTATTTTTATAGCATACTGATAAGTGTGAAACAGCAATCGTACCCTAACGTTTTGGCCAAAATAGTTCCATTTCCTAAAAAGGCAGCAGTTGGAAATGTGTGGGTCGCTGCAGTCACAGCACACACAAATGTCGTTGTGAGTTTACTGAGATATTGGGGAACTGTCCGTTTACTTTTCCCTTTTAATAGATGATTAATTGCTGCCCGGTTAGTCTTTTTATGGCCACTATATTGCAACTCGAGCCGTCCTCAGTGCAATTTCTCTCAGCAAGCCCCAACAGTAATAACTGTTTGCTAATTGTAAAATCCTTATCCAGAATGAGGTTTGGGCAAACAATTTGTACTACTGTAATTACATTGTAAAAGTGTTTTAGCCGCGATTGTTCTGAATTAATCTTATAAGGGCCTGGTAGTGACGTTAGGTTCAGGATTAACCACCCCCCGCCCCCCGCCCCCCCCCAAAAAAGAAGAAGAAGGGTTGCATTTCTGGAAGGTAAGCTATAGCTTCCTCTGAAAGCCTGTGAAGCAGGGCATAGCTGCCCGAATTAAATAAATATAGAGATCAAACCTACGGCTGTTAACAGTACAACAACTGTTTCTAATACTTCCAAGGAGGGGGAGGATGTGTTAGGGCATTCAAATGTTCTTACCTGGAAAGTCTTTATTTTCATCGCAGGTATAAAAAGGTTGTGTTAG